CAATTCTTAGTAACAATCTAACTGAATTTTATGCATTGTGTTCTGTGCTTGTAAATATAAATGATTCAGTAACAAAGGTTTTGGGAAGGCAAAGTGAACCTCTTGATTTGAAACAAGGGATGACAGCAAAGATTGTGCCTCAGGATAAACTGAATAACATATCATACAATAAACAGATTGAGATAGGAAACACTGCAAGTGATGACACTTTGAACTACAAAGAACAGATTGATGCTTTCCAGAAAGAAATAAGAAAATTAAAGGGGTCTCTGAAAATGAGTGAGATTGAGCATCATGAGAGACGTCGTAAATATGAGTCCAATATTCGAACACTACTAAAGAAAGTAAAGGAACACATGCGAGGAAGGAAAGTTGCAGAACGTGCTCTGGAGGAATTACATGGAAAGACAATAGAGAGTATTGATCTAGTGACTTTAAAGTGTGAGACCAGCAAGCTGCAAGCAGAACTGGAGGCTAGCAAACAGAGATGTGAAGAACAGAAAAGAATTGCAGATAGAAACCAAGAAGCATTGCTGGTCCTGGAAAAGGAAAGGGGAAAGCTGGCTCAGAGTTGCAGTATTTCAAAAGAAAAGTTACCTGCAGTACCTGAGACCAGTTATGCAGCTATCAGTAATGAGTTTGACCAGAAGACTCGAGAGCTGCGGTTCCTTCAGTCCCAGGACAGGGTTGCTGAGCTGGAAGAGGAAGTTCGAAAGTCGCACATTATTAACAAGGAACTGCGGAGAGAGGTGAGCTGAAGACATAAAATATTGTAAATCAGCTGCATTTTATATTATAGTGTAATTCACGTTTTTATAATTTGTCTTAATATGTGCTGAAGAAACACATAACTATGAGGGATGTTGGGCATCTGACAATACTTTTTGTCATCTATTATAAATATCACTCTTAGTTGTCAGCATTTACTTATTACTTCATCAGTTCCTTTGTCCAGATAAATGCCAGATTTTTTAACTATAGTTTGTTGTTACATCTGCCTTGCCAAGTTAATCTTATTCCTTTTCAATCGATGGCTGTTTTCATATATCGTGTCTGTTCTGACTATTTTATAATTGTTACATGCAGAAACCCAAATTTTGCAGATATTTTCTGAGAAGTGTGAGACTTCACAGCTGAGAAAGCAGGTGGCTAGCCTTCGAATGGGTCTGGAAACAGCCAATGACATGCTGGATACTAAAAAGGTAGAACTTGGTCGGACAGAATCCATGTGCTGCTTGCTGCAGACTAACGTATCTCACCTTAAGAAGCAACTGGAAACAGAACAACAAGCACACGAAGACTGTAAGCAGGAAGTTGAAAAGTTGCGTGAAAACTTGGAAGAGACGAGAGCAAAGGATCCTGTACTGGCTGATCAGATTAAGGTGCTGTTATGTCTGTCTCTCTCTATTATATTAAAGTGATAAACTCTTGGAAAGACATTTTAGGATTAGTAAATATTCAGTGAAGGATACTGACACATACCAAAATGTAGGAATATCACTTATCAGCTGCATGCAAAAGTTTGTCCAGGATTATTCTCTCAAGGTTAACTCTTTATATCAGTGTAATTACTGGGGATCATCAGCATGCATTTCAGTGTATTACATCAGCTACTTATCAAATAATCTGTAGAAGTTTTCTACCAGACTACACAGCGCAGCAACCCAGAAGACAGCCATCTTCAGATGATTAAGTCCTTCAAAATTGTGGCAAAGTTCAAGCATTTGGGAATGATAGTAACAAATAAGAATTATGTTCATAAGAAATTGAGAGTGGGTTGAATGTGACTAATACTTGCTGCCATCCAATTTAGAATCCTTTGTCTTCTGTTTTCTGTCTTACAATGCAAAGATTGAAATATACAGAACTTTAGTGTCACTGTTGTTCTGTCTGGGTGTAAAACTTGATCCCTCACATAATGGGTAGGACATAAGTTAGATTTGAGAGTGTTTGGGAATGGGGGTGATGGTTTGGTCAAATTCCAAATACTTATATCAGTATCCCATACTATGTAGTGCCATAATCACCATTATATTAACATTTTGTTAAAAGTATAGCAGATGTAATCTAACATTATCAAAAGTAAGAGTGGATTAGTTCAGGAGAAGTATAACGATTTTCAGTACAGAAGAGTGTTTCACACTTGATGTTGGAATTGCTGACATTTGTTGGTTCTTAATTATTGACAGAATTTGAATTTTGCTGTTCACCAGCATTTTATGTTGTAAATGCCAGTAATTGTACATTAAAATCTTCTGCTCTCAGACATTGAGCTACCATTTGAACCAGAAATCGCAGGAAACGTCTGGTCTACAGGAAAAGATAAGATTGTCAGAAGAACGATGGCTGTCCACTGAGAATGGCCTGCAACAATCTATCAGCGGCTTACGGGATGAACTCGTAGTGCTGCGTGCTGAGCTCGACTCAGTCCGCAGTGACAAGTTCACCTTCCAGACTCAGGCAGCTGATTTAAGAGCAGCCCTTCATTCTAGTGTTGAGCAGAACAAGGTGTGTTGAGCCCATAAATCACTATTCATAGTCACAAGTACAGTGAGTTTTCTTATGAGCACAGATAAAAATCATTGAACTTCATAGATGGAAATCAGCCCCATTGAGATTCAATTTGCTAGTGAAACCAATAATTCTGCAGCCTTAACCTTTACACGTGAAATCTAAGAGATTACAGCAGATACTGGATATGATGTCCATTGTTCTGCTTGCATTTCTGATACCTCTATAACAAACTCACACTTGTGAAACCCTGGGTCTCCTGTGCAAGGCATCTGAGGGATTTAATTTTTTATAATTGTTTTCACAATATCACGGGTAAAAACCAACTGTAATGATTTTATTGACAGTGCTTCTGCTTATTACATTACAATATATCTTATTATGGAAACTTGGTTAAATTACATTATTTTAAGTCATAATATAATCCCTACTTTGCATGAAGCTCAAGTAAAACTACTTTTTGTCAAAAATGGTTCATCATGCAAAAAAAAGGTACATGATGTGAAACGTAGGCATCATTATGATCTACAAAACCGCCACAGTGGTCTAGCGGTTAGAACGCTGGGCTTGTAATACTGGGGTCCCGGGTTTGGTGCTAAGATTTACAACTTGTGTTGGGGAAGGCCGTGGTAAAGGCATCACGGAGTTTTCCTACGGGGTTTCCCTGGTTTCTCCGTGGCATCCCAACAATTACTCCGCTTTCATCATCATCTCACAAAAAGGGGGTCACAGCAGGAGCGTTAAATGTCGCGGTCCCGATCGAACCCACGTACTGATGGGTCGTGAATCCTGCTAACCACCAATGCACACCATGCTGAATGGTGTGTACTGGACATGAAAAAAAAAATTATGATCTACAGCTACTATTTGAAATATTTTCCAGTGTGGAAAATACCACAAACACAAGGAAAATAATTTGACTTTGTGCATTGTGATAAGCTTTGCAGCAATAGATTTGTGCCTATACTAAACTAATGAGTATACAAGTCTTGTCTTATTTCATTGTGTATTAGCACAGTTCAGTAATACAGTCACTGTCACTCTGTTTATAGATTCTGCGACTGAAGTTGGAGACTTTCGACTGTGAAAACAATGACAGGCTTCCTGACTTAACCTCAAGTCTTCCATTGCCACCATTGAAATATGATGAGACACAGATTTTAGAATTACTACATCAAAGCACAGTATTGCCGCATAACAAGCCTCTTAGTAACTTGCAGTGTTGTCTGGACTCTCTTAAACAAGAAATGGCAACTCTGCAGAGGCAGCTAGCTGCTAAAACTTCAGCTAGAGATCAGATGTACAATAAAACTGAATATTCACTTGTTAAAAATGTGTAAGTATACAGTATGTTACTGATGTAAGGAGAATGAACACAAGTGTTGTGAATTTCTAAGAACAATGTTTACTACCTATCCAGTATAGTTACTTGAAAATTAAGTATTGGATTATAATAAATGTAAAACAAGTCTTCCTTATATTTTAAAGCCAGGCATAACAAGAATAACATCATTTTACACAACAGTTGTTTAAGTCATGTTATAGTGTGTGGCAGTTACAAAGTAGCAATGAAGTCTTCTTGCGAAATCAGCCATGCGAGTGTGGAATTACCGTTTCAGAGACTGTCTCTCCTTCCATCATCAGGGACTCATGTGACGAGTGACATGGCTGTCCATTATATTTATATTAATACATGCAGTTAGGTCATTGGTCCTGGTATCCTTGTGTAAGAGATGATTCGGAAACAGTTGATGCCTGGTTCCAGGGTCAACTTAGATTGAATCCCATCAGAAAGTTTTGGTGGGGAAACCCAACATCCAGATAGAATGGCTACACTGCAGCAGACATCATCTGGTCCTTGACTCAGATGGAAATCACATTCACAGCAGAAGCTGGCCAGAATGGTCACAATACCGCGTTTGGAAGCCATTCTAACAGGATCAACAGGGTTCTGGCAATTTTGATCACAAGATCTTTGCACAATTCAGCTGAAAATAATGTGCAACTATGGAAGTTAGTGACGAAAGCTGACACAGACCTCAAGGTCCCAAGCATATGCTGTTCCCCATGTGCATGTCTTGCAGATGGACTGCACCATTGAAGCAAGATGTGATCATGCAGGGTACCTATGCCCGTTTCAATTGGGACAAGTCGGTAGTGACTGAACGCGGCATTGAGGTAGGGCATGAGTTAACTTTGAGGTACCAACAAAGCTGTATAAAAGAAGCAGCATCGTCAACAGAAGGATAGGCTGATGAAAGATAAAATCCTAGATTGTCCAAATTAAGTGACAATCAATGTGATGAATTTACACCTGAATCTGCCCATTGTTCCCGATTCGTCAGCTTGGAAAGAAAAGAGCATTGCAAGCATTAATTATGTATAAATACAATGAACAGCTGTGTCACTGATTTCATCAGTAGCTTCTGGTGGAACCTGTCGGTCTGATACATGGCTGATTGCCTGAGAAAATTTTACTGCATTCAGTCAGCTTGAACTCTTGCAGTGTTCCATGTCCCACTGTTTTGTAATGTTTTGACTTAAGATCGAATAATGTATTGTTATTGAGAGAAAGGTCTAAAACACATTAATGCATATGTGGTTATAGTGATTAAATTACTCAAGGTTCAGAGGCCCAGCACAATAGTCTTTTGTCTTACCATCAGCCACCTGAAGACTGCTACAAAACCAAGTTCCAAAGCATCGTGGTTTTAATCACCTGCAATAGATGCAGTTTTACAGAAAGAGGGCAGTGACCAAGAAATTGAAGAAATAGTGCCCGTGAAACAATTTGTAACTTGTCACAAGCCCAAGATGCTGTGCAAACATTAATGAATTTTGTTGTCTTCCCATCTGCTGTCAGAAAACGAATATTAAAATTTTCAAAAGTATAATTTTTACTGTTGTTTTGTATGGGCATGAAAAAACTGAGTCTCTCACATGAAGGGAAGAACACAGACTGGGTTTTTTTGAAAACGGGATGCTTACGAGAATACTCACACCCAAGAGGAATGAAGTGACAGGAGACTGGAGGAAACTGCAGAATGGTGAGCTTTATAATTTGTACTCTTCTCCAAATATTATTAACATTATCAAATTACAGGATATGATATCGGCAGAGCATGCAGACCACATGGAAGAGATCATAAAGTAATTCAAAATGATGATTGGAAAGTTTGAAGGGAAGAGAACTTGGAAGACCTAGGCATAGATGGGAGAATATTAAAATGGTTCTGAGGGAAATAGGGTTAGAAGGTGTGAATTAGATTCGTGTGGCTAAGGATATGGACTATTAGCAGGCTCTTTTGAATGTGGTAATGAACCTTCAGGTAAAAAGCCTGAGAAGTTCTTGATACTGTGTAGTCTTGTAGGTGGTTATCAGCATTTCAGAATTACATATCAACTCTGTGTTCTCGGTTAAAGTTAGCTCAACCCTGAAGCTAGAGATGATGCATTCCTTCAAAACATTAGTATCCACCCATAAGACAACAATTGACTTGTGATGTTGAGAACTTCAAATTTCAGACAAGTGTCCTCTTGATCACCGTAAAAGGGATTAAAACCGTAAGTCTTATTGCATTAACTGCTTAAGAGATTATTTATTCTTGTTATCATTAATTTGCATACACAGCTTGAATACATACTGATTATTTACAATGAATGCAAATATAAAATAATACTATATTTACAAAATTCAAAGAATTTCTTTGATTACAATCTTGGTGGTTGCAGTTATTCAACTATTTCTTTACAAAAATAAATATTGCTTCTACAAGTATCACCTGTTCAGTTTTACGTGCCACTATTGCTACCTTCAGACTCACTATCACTGGATGGGTTATTTTTATGGTCAACCGTATCTTCTTTCTTTTGCTTCTTTTGCATCTTTTTCTTGAGCCGTTTGGCCCTTTTCTTTGCCGTCCTTTCTTCTGCAGCCCTGCGGTTCTCTTCAATTTTCATGTGATAAGCTTCTTCAAGGAGCTCCTGTGACATTGAATAAGTTATGTAAGTAGCAATTTTCACCATGTGATGAAACATAATACTGTATATTTCAACCAACACATGGCACTTTTCATATGAACATATTCACTTGGCAGCATGTTTCATGGTCATGCATATTTATCAGGCCACATAGAAAGTGTGTCAATCAAGTACCAAGTGAACAACACATCAGAAGCGACATGTGTGCCGGTGAAGAAGTGGCAAAGTTACAAAAGCACGTGCTTTCATCCTGACAGAAAAATGAGTGGTTGTTGAAGCAACACATTAACATCAAGTTTTGTGCAAAGTTAGGCAAAAGTACAGGTGAAACTGCAAATGTTAACAGAGGCTTATGGCGCTGATGCTATGAAAAGGTAAAGTAATACAGCTTTATGAGGGCATTCCAGGAACTTAATTGTCACACCTCATATTCGCCAAATGCATGTTTCCATACCTTCATGGTACATATTACTCCGACTTGTATTAAAATCTTCTTTAGTAGGTCTCTTTCATACAAACAGGTAGACATTTCACTGAACACATTTTCAAATAGAGATAAAGATTTAAATAATTGGTCATTTTAAGCAATGCCCTAGACAGCACTTATGTCAAGCAACAGGTATGACTTTAGAAAAACTATGGTAATTTCATTTCAAAAGATTCTAAGACTCCAAATTCAAAAATAAACTTACATATTCATTCATACACATAAGATGGCCAAGTAGAAAGAGGAATTCAAATTATTACTAAAAGAAACTTGACAGATAAAGATACAAATTCATCAAAATCTCTCCTGACACATGACAACACTGCACATTACACACCTTCTCACCCTTCTCTTGGATGAATTTCTGTCGAGCATACTCTTTTCTTCTCAAGTGTCTGTAAACATGAAACTCGCCACTACCTGCACCAGCACTTGAACCCATCACATTTCGCACAAAGTCTGGCACGTGAGGTGTATTTTTCTCCTTTGGTCTCTCAGCTATTGGTGCAGGTTTCTCCTGTGAAAAAAATTGTTAACAAAAACGTTTCTTGGAATGATATAAAGACAAATATGTTGAAAATACCACAGCCAAGTTTCTAGTTGGTCACTTCATGACTGTGGCAGGTTGCAAAACAATTTACAGTTGTCCTATAAATCTTGCCTTGGAACCATATTTAGGTATTCTTCACATTCAAGCATCAGCGAAAGAACATTATATGGACCTAAACATGTCTGTCTGTGTGTGTAGCATGGGCAACACGTGTGATGGGACAATGTCACATCAAGAACAACATTAGATCATAACATTGCAAGAATAAACTTGAGATACAACGACCTAAGTGATGTGGCATAAAGAACAACTTTAGAATATCAGTGTTCTCCAAACAGTACACTTGTCCAATCTTGTCAATATGCTAACCTGTACATAACATTTACCATAGAATGTCACTGAATTCGTGTACCATAGTCATAACGAAAAAGTACAGTAAATTAAACTGTCTTAATATTACCTTAACCAACTTCCAATTAAATGTCACAAGAAATAATTCGTTCAAATACCGTAAAATAACGATAGGGGAATGGCGCAACGTCATATTGACAAAAGTGCAGAATGTACTACTCCCCCCCTTAAATGAAATATTAAAGCAATGTTTAACTTCCAGCATATTCGGCCAGCAACCTGAACTAATCCAACACATAATATAAAATTAAATAATTAAGACAGCTTATACTGAACTATATATTTATTCATGTTGCGGTTATGTCACACTTCTGCCATGACAAAGCTCTTGTCATTCATACAGGCAATACATAAAACTGCATACATACCGGGTTTTTCATCAACTTTTCTAATTTCAATCTCTGCAAATCGTATGCGGTTCTTGCAATGATGGGTTTTTCTGCATCATTTTTCTCCTTTTCCTTCCCAACTAGTGCCATATTCAAAACGCTGTGCAGGAAGTCTTCGACCACCATACATTAATACCAACATCGCCCACCAATATACTTGAGAACAGATGAAAACATTTGGTTTAAAGTAGCTGCCTTCTGGACCGTGTAGTCAGGTATAAGTTTGCCAGTGTTTTCAGAGGTCCTTGCTGTTTCCATCATCACCAACGAAATGTGTGTCACCATGATGATGGAGGCAGCAAGGACCTCTGAAACGTTGATAAACTTCTACCAGGCTACACGACACAGATAATCCACGGTACTACAACCCAGAAGACAGCCACCTTTGTACTCACCGCCGTGAGAACCTCAAATCCTGTTTCAGTTTGTGGGCAATCCACATTTATTGCGCAACATTAGACATTTGATGTTCTTGGAATACAAAGAAATACTTATGAAAATCAGCCAGAAAACATAGTGACAGATAAGCGTAATCATTAAATACCACCAGCGGTACGGGAACCATACATAGGTTGAGAAACGCTGGTATAGGCGATTGTAAGATAGGATAAGTTGGCATGAATACGTGTTCAAAATGAAAAAAAGAAAATCCCAATGAAGGTTTTGAATATGGAAGAAAGGAAACCGTCCATCGGAGCTCAGGATGAGACGAACCATAGATAAGGAAGAACAGGACACAAAGACGTAACACAGAGGGAAAGATGCCGTAAGATTTAGAGTATTAAGAGCTGTTCGAAAACTGAAACAGATAAAGAGGCATACAGCGAAACATCTGGAGAAGAAGAAGAATATTCCTGACGCTGAGGAAATTTGTGTTTCAACGTTGTCTTGCTTTGCTGTTAAGACTATTTTCGAAAGGAAAGCAACTCAATGCTACCCAGTGCGTAGCTCGCGCCATTTTAATATTGTTGTGAGTGAGAATAGTTCATGTTGTGAATATATACAAGATTTAAAAAGAACAATGGCGAATATAACTTTGAATACAGATACATTTATATCACGTATAAAGAAGTTATACTCTGCTTGGAAGGTGTGTACACCCATCTGATTGTTATTGGAATAATTTTATATAAATTGTTTACCTAGTTTCAAAGAAACATTACTGTAGTAGTGTGGAGTTTGTGTTTATTTCTGTATTTACAGCAGTCTGCAGAAGCCAAAGAAGACAATGCTTACGGATTTTCAAAAATGGATGCCTTGGTGTCTGCGGTGGGGGTTGATGAAGATATTGTGTACAGTAAATCCATAGCTCTTCAGGTAAGCTGTCAATAGGCCCCAAATTCTCCATGAAACAAAGCATTACATTTTTTTTGAGAAGAAGAAAATCGCACAATGTGCAGAGTAGAGTCTGATAGTCTTGTTTGCTGTGGTGAATCAGTGATAGAACCATAGAACTTGTTTTTCACGTGTGAGAATGTGGTATCTCTTACAGTTTTTCCCACAAGCTGAAGATGCCTCAAAACATTGCATTATGTGAATGTATTTTTACAGTTGAGTTGGAAAGATGAGGATTTGGAATTTATCAATGGTGATTTACAGAGTTGTTTGTTTGTTATGGCTAAATGGAGAATAATATCACAACACAGTTTCTTACAGGACATTTGTTGACACATAAAGTTTTCTTTAAAAGTGTTCAGTATGGCTGCCACCAATGTGGCAGACATTGAGACACTATGCTGAGTAATGATTTTGCAGTGATAGATGCCACTTTTTTGGGCAAAGTGTGGGATGAATTTCAGTATTATCTGGATGTCTGCCCCATAACCAATGGCAGCCATTTTAAACATTTGTGAAAACTTGAATTGTTAACAGATGTTAGTATGGAATGTGAACAATGACTATGTTTGAGTTTGCCTTATTTAACTCAGAGATTGTTTTTTTTTAATTGTTCCTTAGTATGGAAGATGAAGTTTGATGTGTATACTCAATTGCAAAATTTTTATGATCCCTCACCACATCATGCTCCGCACTGCTGTTACCATGGTAGGAGCACAGGTCACTGTAGATTTTGTATTTTTATGCTGTTCTGTTGGAGACTGTTCATTTTCACTGAATGTTGCAGTTGACTAATGCTCCTGTGTTACATTTGGGAGGTCTTGGGTTTGAATTTTTGTGTGAAGACTGGTTATCATGACTGAGGGTTTTTGCAGTTTTCCTTGGTCCCTCTTTGAAAATGGTGTGATAGTATCTTCAGGCAGCTGATAACTATAGGTCGTGCAAGAAGTGCTGTGCACTTGCGCAAAGGACTGATTTTGGTTGTATGAGATGGACCTGTCCAGAGCATGCGCTAGAGGGGTGTCAGCTTCAGTTGGTTTGCAGCTCTAGTTGTGTTTAGATCGGTGTGTCACGGCAACTGAGGCTGTGTGACCCCCACTGCTACTGAACTCCTCTCTCTTGGCTTACACATTGCTCATTAGGTGCCACCACCACTCATGCAACCTATACCTCCACATGTTTCCAAAATAATTTAAAATTATCCAACCATCCAATGCCATATATGCAATTATGCTTTTAACTGAGGAATCAGTCATACTGTGAGTCTGCAATGTGATGTGATCTATTTTGTCAGCTAGGCCATTATGTTCTCTGTTTAATTTGTTTTTGTTTCAGTCATGGCTGTTGGGATATGAACTTACTGATACAATTATGGTTGTCGCCGAGGAAGAAATACATTTCCTGGCTAGCAAGAAGAAGATTGATTTTCTCCGGCAAATTCAGAATAGCAATAAGGATGAAAATGGGCTACCAGCCAAGCTAGAATTGCATATTCGAGATCGGGTGAGCATAATCATCTGCGTAATAAACACTGATTTATGAAGTAACTGATGGTTATGGTCATTTTGAAGCAGCATCAGTCAAACCATTGTTATGTACATATTTTTCATCTAGTGGAGGGTATGGAATGAATTAATTTGGTTCGGTGTAGAGGCCAGGATGGTAGGCTCTTTTGAACATTGTTTCATATACAGCAAGTAACATGTTGGCTATCTGATTGGCTGTTGGTTTCTCCAGGAAGATGTATTTGTACATGCCAAAGAGACATTAAAATGTGTGTTCCATTGAGCTCATTTCATGTAGCAGAGTCCTTGAGAAGTTAATAGCAGGTGAGCTAATCAACAACTTTTCTTTGTCTTATGGGGTCCAGAGATTTCATAACAGCTTGCCACTGAACCCTCTCATACATTAGATACGTCCAGTCCACCTTCTGATACCCTGTTTCTTTATGATTCCTTTCAACAGTTTTATCTTATCCTTGAATCTCTGCCAAGGTTTTCCAAGTGGTTTCTGAACTTGAGTTTTCTGATTACATTATTCACAAATTTCTCATCTTTTCCTTGCATTCTACATACCCAGCCCCTTCCATCTGTTTACATTGTCTTGGATTGTGTTCCAGAGTGATGAGGACAAAACAAATTTCCAAAAGCTCATTGATGCTTTGAAAAATAGTAAACGAGGCAAGACATTAGGAGTGTTTTCCAAGGACAACTATCCAGGCCAGTTCATGGATGCCTGGAGAGCAGTGCTGAAAAAGGAACATTTTGACACTGTACGTTTGTTTGACAAAAGTTTTCTGTATCTATATTGGTAACACGAAGCTTGACTTGGTGTTGTGAAGCCTGAAAGAAGTTCTAACAATTTTTAATTTTTAATTTATAACTTATTTTTAACTTCATAAGATTTTAATCAGCACATGACTAATTTTGCTCGTACCCAGCATGGGAAATTTATAAGAAATATTAACAGTTTAATTTTAACCTCTAACTTTAGGAGAAACAACAAACATTATAATTGCAGCTCTGTTTAGAGAAATCACTACCCAGCGTATTATATTGTGTTATGTTTGCGTATTTACATGGAAATTGTGAGTATAATATTTTATGGTAAGAGCTGTGTTCGTCTTCATAGTTAATTACCTGTATAACCGGCAAATTGTTCGTAACACGCGAATGTTGAATTTCCTTTCAGGTGGATGTAAGTGCTGATGTAGCATATGTGATGGCACCCAAAGAAGAGCCTGAGTTACTGATCATGAAAAAGGCATGCTTTGTATCTGTTGATGTTTTTAATAAATATCTCAAAGATCAAATTATGGAAATAATAGATTCAGATAAAGTAAGTATAATTGCGTCATTTCTGTCTCACACATTTTTTCTTGTTCATTATCACATGAAACATGAACTTGTGTAGCTTTTAACCCCTAGCAGGATCTTTTAATTTGAGGGTTGTTCAGTAGAAACCTTCCAGTGATCAGTTGAATAATTTATGTTGGGCTCACTCAGTCATCGCCCACATTCATGGGTCTCACAGAATCATCAAATGCTGGATGCCTTCCTGGAAGATTTCCAAAGGCTGCTGCTGGCAATGCTTGCAAATGTCTTGTTTAACTTGAGTGTCCAGCTGAAATTGGCTGTAGTCTCTCAGGGATGTGGGAGATCCAGACTCTACACCCCGATGCTCCAGTACTGCACCTTAGTCTTGATGGTGTTTGCTACATGAGGGAATGCATTATCATGCAAGATGGTAATTTCATTCCTGTCGGCAGTATAGTTATTATTTACTAGATGTGTCAGTATGTATCACCTAGTTTAATGTTCTTGTTCACTGTTTGAATGTGTGTGACCAAGATGTGTTCTGAATACCTGATAAAATGTACTTAATCAGCGTGTTACTTGTATCAATATTATTCACTGCAGTTTTGGTCAAATTTTCCTTAATATTAAAGATGAAAGGCTCTAAATCACCAGATCGTATTCTGGTAGAGGAATATTACTGTTATCAGCTAGACTCAAAATGTTATCCAATGTTTGTCTGTGAAGATTTACTCCTTACATATAAAAAAATATTGTAGGTAAACTTTTGCCGGATACCGTTTCCTATTTAGAATGAAATGAAAAAGGGAGATGCTTTGTTGAATGTGCCAATCAAGACGGAATGAGGTGGAGATTGAGCCGGGCTAATGGGGAGATTTCAGTTCTAATTCTGCCGAAAGATGAGTGTAAATAAGTGTTTAGGTGTATGAAGAAGGAGGGTGGGATGACACATTGATGGAACTTTGGGAGCTAGATTATGAGGATGTGGGCTGAATGGAACTGGCTGGGGATCCTCTCCAGTGGTGATCTTTGTTAAAACTTTGGAATTAGCTTGTACCTCCAGGCTGAGGAGCCTCATTTAAACCTTCCAGTTAATCAAAGCATTGCAATGGTCATGTCAGGAAAACTTGCACCGTACCTCCAGTTTGCTACAGTCAACACTTTTATTTTTTATAAGAGCCATCATTCAGTCCTGTTATGTGCAGAATGCTACTGTGTTTTTAACACCTCTGATAATGGACTATGGAGTGAATAGGCAGTCAGTTTATCCTGGGTTGTTGTGGTGTTTATGTATGAATCGAGAATTGCGTGTGTGTTATACAATCTTGGTATGTGTTAACTCTTTTCTGTGCCATTTAAATTCACTGTGTGATTATTATTTTAAACTTCAGACCACTTCATTTAAATGACTTTTTTCATTGTGTTTCAGTATTTCAAGTTTTCAGGGGATGTCTAATTTTTCTGCGTACTGTCGCATAGTATACAGCAAGGGGCTGCCACAAATTAAAACAAAATGTTTCTCGTAGTGAGAAATATGTTGCATTGAGCTAATGCAAGGTTGATGTCTTCTTCCACAGAAAGTCAAACACGCCAAGCTTGCAGAAGGAGTCGAGTCAGCCATAACAGACAAGAAGTATGTGACGGGGGTAGACTCTAGTCAGCTTGATATGTGTTATCCTGCCATCATTCAGAGTGGTGGAAACTACAACCTGAAGTTCAGTGTTGTCAGTGATAAGAATGTTTTGCACTTTGGAGCAATTGTTTGCTCTCTTGGTGCTAGATACAAATCTTATTGTTCCAACATAGTACGCACTCTGCTTGTCAATCCAACAGATGCAATCCAGGTTAGTTGTTTCTGCAAGGAAACCAGAACAAAGTTTGAAGGAAAGGAGTGAAATGTGTCTAGATACTGACTCTTGTTTATGTAAATATATTTATTATTTTTACAAGAGACGTTGTGATTCATTAAAACCTTGAATTAGAACATTTGGACAAAATTAACTTGATCCGAAGGATTTAATTTATTCCTCTAGATTGCTGTGATGTGATACCACTACGTGTTATGCTGACTTCCTTAGTTATATGTATCAAGTCCTTGATCTTCCACCCTCTGTGTTTATAACAGAGCATCAAATTTATTATTCTCAAACTGAGAATATAGAAGGAGTAACAGAAAAAAAACACCAATATTGTTGTGTTGTGTGTATATATTTTTATCTCGTTTGTTGCCCTTGGTCTCTTTGGCAGGGGTTCAAGACCCTAGTTCCACCTTATTTCTGCTTGTCCTGTGTTTCTGGAGTGGGGCTGGCCACGGCCCTCGGGGCCCCTTCATTATTTCCCGTCCTGGATCTGTGTGGTAGGTCTGGCCAAAACCGTCAGCCCCCTTCATTACTGCTGACGCTGTGAAATTACTGGGTGGGGTATCCACAGGTGTGGAATTGCCTGTTGGAGAATCGCATGGCGGTCGTCTCCAACCAGCCACTGAACCAAGATGTGGAATCTTTTGTCATTATATTGTCACTGAACCATACAGGAATCAGACACTCCTGTCACGCGTGGATATTTGACCCAAGACAAGTCTGACATTACGTAGGTTAATAGGTCAAATTGTAGTGAACATTCCTGAGTTGTTAGCTATGTACTATTTTATTCTTTGTTTGTAAGAAAGTAGCACTCGGTCTGCTGCTACAAATTACTTGTTGATTTTAGTCATGCTGTTTGCCATCTGTGCAGTATCTAAGAATGTGATTCTTATATAAATTTTTTACTAGAATATCATAAGAGGTCTTACTGTACTTTATATTTTATAAATATGAATATGAAGATTCGGCTGTTTGGCATTGTATTCCAGGAAAACTACAATTTTCTTGTTGCTCTTGAAGAAGAACTGCTGAAGATACTGGTAGATGGAACAGCTTTGAATGCTGTTTATCAGGCTGGAATCAAGTATGCAGAAAAGGAAAAACCTAATCTTGTGGCAAACCTCACAAAGAACTTTGGATTTGCGACGGGAATCGAGTTTCGGGAGAGTTCTCTCGTCATCGGTCCCAAAACAACTGCTTCTGCTCGCAAGGACATGGTGTTTAATGTGAATGTTGGGCTTTCTGGGCTGACAAATAAAGAAGCTTCTGATAAGGAAGGCAAAGTATATGCTCTGTTCATCGGTGACACTGTTCAAGTTAATGTTGTAAGTGAATTTGACGGGTTAAAAGAATGTGTAATCTTGATTGGCAGTTCATTTCTTGTGAGTAGTAAAACCTTATTAATTTGAAGTTCAGAGGATTGGTAATATTTGTTTTAATACAAGCAGTTTTGAAGTATTCAGTATGCTCCTCTTCCCTTGTACCCCTCCCCCCAGAACGTTTGACAATCCACCTTGTTTCAATGTAGGACAAAGTGTGAATTATTTTGCGAATGTGACAAACCCTGTAATACAGTTGTAGTTAATAGAATATTTTAGAATCTATTTTGTAATTTTCATGAAAACCATATTTTGTTTCAAATCATTGTTTCCACGCATGTGGGATGTATGGCGAGGTTCTGTCACAGTTTCTGCAAACGTTGTTAAGTGTTTTCTTCCCATTTTTGTTGATAAGCTTCTGGTGGAACTGATTACAACGATTTTCATCCTTTTTTGCTATTTTGATGTTTGATAAATTTTATAGATTTTAAGTTGCTGATTCTGAATGTGGGAACAAAAATTCTGTAGCACATAGGTCTTTCAAGAAATAAGGAAAATTTTTTCTAATGCTTACGAGTTCAGTCACTTATGTTTATTATAGTGTCACACAGATGATATGGCAAATATGTTGATAAATGTTTCTTTGCCTTTACTTGGGGTAGTATTAAACATACAGTAGGAGAAGTAAAACTAGAAAAGTTGTTTCTGCTTTGATTTAGTATAACGCTGTGTAACAGAAATGGAAGATAAATCATTTTTTCATCTGACTTTCTCTTGTGTGTGTCTGGAGCTTCACTTTTAAGCTTCTAACAGCAGTCAGCCAGCGTAGACAGATTCCATTTCCCTGTGGTAGAAATGTCCTGGTAGAATATTTCACCGTGCTTCTGCCAATGTCTCCAACGTGAGAATGAAGGAAGTGCGTTTTCTGACAAATCGCACTGCGTCATCTTTAGGTTTCAAGCTTTTCTCTACCGGCTGTGTGTATTTGTGTGTTTTGTGGTTGCCCAATAAGTTGTCAGCAATCAATTTGAATGCTTCTCCATTACAGCAGTTCTTTATTACTCTTTGTTTTCATTGCCATTTCTGTGACTGTCACGTCACAGTGCTTCTTCATTGCGTACTACTGAATAGACATAATGCAACAAAGGAAGAGTTTTGGAAGGAATGATAATGTCCACAGCTTGACTTTTTACTTTATAATGTGTCCTCAGTAGTGAACAGGACTTCTCTCTAATTATCCACAAACCTACTGTTATCTGTAGTCACTAATTATGGAATATATAATATTGGGAATAAGAAATATTTTACAATACTTTCAACGTAAACTGTCTGTGAGTGACTTGGCCAGATTCATGCTTCAAATTACAAGGTACAGTGCACTTATTTCAGTTATCTGTGTTTAAGAGATACAAAATCATATATTGTTAGTTGGGGAACTATATTCATTCTAAATTCACATTATTTTAAATCACCTGATATCAAAGTAATGAGGTTTTACTGTGTATTGTGTTAATACCACACGTTTCTGGATAAAATGTGTACCTGCTATTTGGAAGCAAAGAAGTTTAAATAGAAATCTTCATTCTAACAGTAATTCTTACTTTTGCTACTACTTGTGTAACGTGTACATGTTATTTGCTACTTTATATCTGTGTTGTAATGCAGTTTTTATGTTTTGGCTGTAGGAACAACCAGCAACTATACTGACACCCTCAAAAAAGAAGATAAAAAACATTGGCATTTTTCTAAAAGATGAAGAAGAAGAAGATGAAGAGGAAGAAGAAAAAGAAAAGACTCCAAAGGATCCACAGATATTGGGTCGCGGAAAACGAACTGCTGTGTTGGAGTCCAAGTTAAGGGTAAGGGGAACATTTGTTCTTTGGTGCATCTGTAACATGTCCGTCAAATTGTGATTACGTATGCTTTTAATATAATATAAATTAAATAAAGTATTAAATTTTGTGGATGGTGCATAGAAGATGAAGGTCGCTTACCAAGGTGTTATCTTTTATTTATTCCTAATTTGGCTGAATAACATGAAACCTGTCAGTTATGTTTTCTGTTTTTTTATATTTTGTCATTGAATTCTGCAAAGCAGTAACATTGAATTTTTATGTGTGCAGAAAATAAAATATTTGTTAACTTATGATAATATAAGTATAAAGTAAAAATTTATTCTAAATAAATTTGAATATTGTGTTTTTCAATCTGGATTAGTGAGTTTTTGGAGTTGTCCATCCTCATTTATTGTAAAGAACAAGATTTGAAGAACTAGATCTGTTTTCATCTTCAGTATAAAGGGGTACTTACTCTGTTGGGTCCCTTACAAAGAGCTAACTTCAATCACTGGACAGCTGAAGTCAGAACAACTACATGGGTGCAAGCACCTGATATCAGGTTTTGTCAGTGGGAGATAATAGGAAAGATTTCAATAAAAATTATGGAAATGTATGTGAAGATGAAGGTTAAGACAAAAGTGGAAGTAGAAATTAAAATACATCACATCACACCCAGAACTACCCAATCCAATAAGAGATTTGAAATATTACTTGCTCTATCATATCTGTTTCCTGTGAGCACCATGTAAGACCTGAGCATAGAGCCCCAAAACAAAGTCATAGCATTACTCAGAAGAGTCTGTCAAGTTAAACATCCCCTAGGAGTTGGCCACCTCCTGGCTCTTTACACCTGAGGAGTAAAGCAGATCTAGTTTTTGAAATGTTGTTTATGATACCAAACAGTGGACAGAGCCGAAAAACTTAGTAATTGAAAATGAAGTAAAATTGTTTGATGTTTCAGAAAGAACTGTAAATTGTCATTACACGGATGCTTAATTCCCTTTGAAAAAAAATTATTGTCTCTATCAAACAGTCATTTTATGGATGCCTCATCATATCAAGCATTAAGATTTCAATGTTTCGTGTGTGTGTGTGAAGAATGAGTCATTTTTTATTCTTTTGTAGTCTGAGCACTCGTCAGAAGAGAAACGCAAACAGCACCAAAAAGAGCTGGCACGGTCATTAAATGAGGCTGCAAAGCAAAGATTAGCACAACAGTCAGATGGCAGAGAGAAAGAAAAGGTGCGGAAGTCCACGGTGAGCTACAAGAATCATGGCCAAATGCCTCGAGAAGCAGAAGTGCGGGATTTGAAAATCTATGTTGGTAAGCAACCTGTGTACGTTTTTAGCCGCCAATTTCAATTGTATGGTTTAACACGACACTAGGGCACTTAGAATCTGTCACTGGCACTCACCGGGTTTCTGGTGCGGCCCACTGGTTCGGGTTCATTGCACTAAATATCTCATAATGAGTATTCAACATTCTGAAGCTGTGCTGTTTAATGGTTGATACTTTTCATTCTCATTGACTTAATGATGTGCTTTTTACTGACAGATCGAAAATATGAGACTGTGATACTGCCTGTCTTTGGCATTGCTGTTCCATTTCACATTTCTACCATCAAGAATATCTCTCAGTCTGTAGAAGGTGATTACACATATCTCCGCGTTAACTTCTTCCACCCAGGAGCAACTATGGGGCGTAATGAGGGAGGCTCCTATCCTCAGCCTGATGCTACATTTGTCAAAGAAGTGTAAGTTGTAGGAGTGTGTCATTTAATAATGCTGTGGTACGTACATTAGCTCATGTAACTTGTGAAGCATGGAAAACATAACTTATGAATTGTTAATTTGATGCCTTATTTGTTGTTATATTTCTGCATAAGGATAGTTTTGCTTGCTCGGAGAATACTTCTTTTTCCTTTCCATTATTGAAACAAAGCCTATCTTGCAATTTCTCATTTGGAGTGTCTCAGAAACTGGATTTATGCTACCCCAAAAATTTAAACAGAAGAATGTTGTTACTCCCACTACCTTATCTTTATCTGCAGGACGTATCGTAGCACAAATGTGAAAGAACCTGGAGAGCTATCAGCACCGTCTGCAAACTTAAACACAGCATTTCGTCTAATTAAGGAGGTTCAGAAGAAATTCAAGAATCGAGAAGCAGAAGAACGTGAGAAAGAAGATCTTGTGAAGCAAGATACGCTTGTGATGTCCCAAAACAAGGGCAACCCGAAACTCAAGGATCTGTACATTCGACCCAACATCGTCACCAAACGTATGACAGGTAACCAGACATGCTGTGTGTCAAAGGCTTGTATTATGAAATAATGTATGTCATAATACAGGATTCCAATGGACTTTGAAATGTTTGTTTCAAAGAGGTTTCTGTTTAACACAGGTACTTTCTTCTGGATTAAGAAATACTACGTGGAGTATTTATGAGCCTAAGGAAAGTTAGAAATTTTGCTCTGTCTGTGCATTGCAATGTTAACTAATAGCGTACATTTGAGGCAGGTTTACTGTAGTTTGATACATGTTCTTCTAGTTCTTGTATTGTGCGGAAACCTGAATAACATTTTGGATCGCGAACCATATTAATACTAGACTTAGTTAAGACATACACTCTCTTAACCAACATCTCTGATTTATTTTGTTGCCGCACTGACATCCGACCTTGCTTGCCTGGGATTGAGTTCTAAATAGTCCACATGCCATGGCAGTGTTCACCCACATTCTCACTTTTATCTCATCACTTATAAGTCTTGTGCATTAGATACTTAAAATCAGCCGTGAAATGTTTCATTCAATTATTTTTGCATTCAGTCATTAAATATCTGTAATTCATTTAAGTGTGCCAGTGACAATCAGAGAATTTAGGGGAGTGTTTCTACCTAAGAATGAGTAACAGGAGGGTTGACAGAATTGCAGAATGAGACATTCCTTTCATCTGATAGTGTTAGGCTAATTGAATAAGGGAGGGTGAGCTAGAAGAGATGAAAAACTTATGAAAAATATTCCTGGAAGACTGAAAGGGAGGTTGCATTTTTGATGTGATGTGTAGATGGGAAGATATTAAAATGGTTCTTAAAAGTAGGCTGAAGTTATGAATCAGATTAAAGTGGTTCAGGATTTTGGGATTTGGTGGTGGGTTTCTGTGAAAGAAAGATTTTTTTTTATCAGCTTCCCAAGGAAGACCCTGCATAATGTAGGTTGTAGATCAGTAGTGGGATTTACACTCTGAGATTAAGACAGGAGTGAAAAAATTGACAGAATATTAGAAATAAATAATATAACAGAATTTCAAGTGGCAGAAACATTTTGAACAATAGGAGAAACTCGTGTCCATAAGAGACTTTTGAATTTGGTCCATGAAGAAAAAGGGAATGTTAGAATGACAGTGAAAATACTATTTAAGCGAAAGGAGATTTTTAGTGAGATGGAACAGGCCATTGGAACTTATTCTTGAAGTTGATCGTGGTTTAAGTATGGTGTCTCATTAGATGATTGAGAATTATTAAGTAGCCTTTTGGTCACTACAAGAAGTTTGGTGTTATTTAACTTTATGAAAAGTTTCATAATTTTCTCCAGAGTTTATTGATATTTCTGTTAAATGTTAAATGCATTTTGTCATTGCAGGATCATTAGAAGCTCATGTAAATGGATTTCGATACACTTCTGTTCGAGGTGACAAGGTGGACATCTTGTACAACAATATCAAGAATGCATTCTTTCAGCCATGTGATGGAGAGATGATCATCCTTCTGCACTTTCACCTTAAGGTGCTAAAATCTCACTTCATGATACCATTTATTCTGTTGTATGATCGTAATTCCACATCTGTATTACTTTTGTGGTCTGGTATTCTAAATATTTCGGTTCTAATGTTATTTTTTCATTTTATTTTTCGAGGTAATTTTTGTTCTCTTGAGTGTCATTGCTGCACGTTCCTGTAGGTAATTTAACATTAATTTTATATTTATTTGAAGTGGCAGTTAATTGATGTACAGTAATTTCCAGTTTGTCCTCTGATGCGGTTAATAAGACCTGAACGCTTGCGCAAAGTATTATGTTTATATTTGTGTTTCCTCCAGCATGCAATTATGTTTGGGAAGAAGAAACATGTTGATGTGCAGTTTTATACTGAGGTTGGTGAGATAACAACTGACTTGGGGAAGCATCAACATATGCATGATCGAGATGATCTAGCAGCTGAACAGTCTGAGAGGGAACTGCGTCACAAACTGAAGACAGCGTTCAAGAGCTTTTGTGAGAAGGTGGAGATCATGACAAAGCAAGAAATTGAGTTTGATACTCCATTCAGGGAACTTGGATTCCCTGGCGCTCCCTTCCGCAGCACAGTCCTTCTGCAGCCCACCAGTGGGTGTCTCGTAAATCTTACAGAGTGGGTGAGTATTGTCAAAAACTGCCGAGTTTCATTGTCCTTATTTTTAAAAGAATTATAAAATGCATGAAGCCACTAAAGGGACTGTAAAGGAAAGGCCACTTTTAAATCAAGAATTTTAGGGCCTGGTTTCATTCTGATACTTTAGTCTACGTATTGATGCTAGCAAGAACTCTGAAACATCTCCACAGTTTAGTGATTATTTCTTTGCATAATTTATGATAGCACAAATTAAGACTGCATTAAATTTGTCATATGCAACCTCAAGGTTTCGCACATTGCACTGTTTATAATTGTTACATGTGGCTGTCATATTTGCTAGCTACTGAATGTTGTGTCGAAGTGGCATATTTAGGAGGTCCCAGAAGACTGGTTGTCCTGTGTCCCCCCAGGCAAATACCAGTACAGCTCTTTAAATTAGGCCATGACCACTTCCTTTCCAAGTATTCCTTGTCTTATCTGATGCTGTGTAGTCTGAGTTGCTGACACCATTGTTAAATAAGCAGAAACAGCTTTTAGGACTTCGTTATGATATAAATTCTAAGGTTTAAGGCAGGTCTGAACGTCATATAATACAAAAAGAAAAGGTTCTTTATGAACAAACTGCCTGTGTGTTTGTAGGCGTGAGATTGTTTCGTTTATTCTGCGTAATACATAATTCAGCAGACTTTGAGTCGATGTCTGGTATGACGAAGGTATGGCCATTTGTTTTATTTCCATTCCCACACTTAATAGAATTAAATATGTAATCAGAGCTTCTAGAATAAGTCACATATATCCTTTGTAGGATCATAACTACATGATGATGATGATAGCTGAGGAGGTAAAGTTGGAGATGAACAATCACGTGGCAGTTAAAGTTTCCTAAGACATCTTTTGGGTTCATATGTGAAAGCTTTTCTTTGATAACCTCCTGTAATTATTTTGACACGAATTTGTGTGTTTGCAGCCTCCATTTGTGATCACCCTTGAGGATGTTGAGCTTGTACATTTTGAACGTGTGCAGTTTCATCTGAAGAACTTTGACATGATATTTGTTTTCAAAGATTACCATCGTAAAGTTGCTATGGTTAATGCTATTCCTATGAACATGCTTGATCATGTGAAAGAATGGCTCAAGTAAGTACTACGCTGCTTTTCTTTACATTTGACTCTAAGAACTTTCCTCTTTGTGTGCTCGACAGCTCTGAAAATGCACAGTAAAATACGAAAATGCTAATAGGATATTCTTTGCCATTGTGTAATAATGTGATTTGGAAGACCTCTATTGAAATGGAAGAGAGACGACTAACTTTAATACATGAAAATGTTTAAGTCTGCCACAAAAATGGTATCCAATTGCTATTGGGATTTTTACTGCTATAAAAATGTTACGTATGGTCTTCTGGGTTGTGACATTTTGAAGGAATTTTATCAGCTCCATTTTCAGGGTAACCACCTACAAGACTACTCAGTGTTACAACTTAAAAGACCGTAATGTACATTAATGTATATGTTAGCATATTTCATCATATAATTTATACTTTTTTTTAAAAAATTGGTACTTTATTTGAATGAGACGACGGTGGTCTGAAAGATGCCATATCCTACTTATGTATAAAAGTGAAACATATTCTCTGAAAAGTGGGTAACTTTTGTGTAAGGTTAGCAAAAATAATGTCTTGTTCTGTGAATTTAAATACTTCTTCTGTTTAGTAAACCAATCTTCATATCAAGTGCAACATGCTTCTTTGTGTGGTACATTGTCATTGCCACAGATTAAATAAACATTTGCGACAGGTCTTCAAATCGTCTTAATTGGAAGAATTCTTGTAATAAATAATAAATGTGCACAAAAGCGTTCTAGAAGTGAATGTGTTGAGAAGTAGCACCGTATAAACTTAACTCTAATAATAAATAATCTAAATATATCAGTCCCTTAGATTTTGCCAAATTGAGAAACCACATGTGCTGTCGTTTGTTAACTTTATAATCAGTAAGAGAGGAAATCATTTTGGTTATCTTTTTAATTGCTTCTGATCGCAGCTCATGTGACATTCGGTACTCTGAGGGCATACAATCTTTGAACTGGACCAAGATCATGAAGACAATCACAGATGATCCTGAAGGATTTTTTGATAGTGGTGGCTGGACTTTCCTGGATCCTGAAAGTGATGATGAGAATAATGCTGAAGAAGTGGAAGAAGAAGAAGAAGATGATGCTTATGAGGTTTGAACTTGATAAATATGATAACCTGGTTGACAAATTGATATTTAAAGAGAAACGTTTTTAGTTTGATGAGTTTGTCAAGGAGGGGAATAATAGATACTGAAGTGCTGATGTTCGTAAGTCAATTAATAGCAAGTTCCAGTGGTGGTTGCTGCAGTTTCTGCACTAAGATACTGTTCATTTAAGTTAATTATATCCACGATTACGATTCTGTGCAGTTTAATGCCATAGTAGGAGGTAAAATTATATGGTTCTTGAAGCTTTCATTGTGACTGTAAGTGATAAAAGTCCTCTTGGGTGATCAGCCAATTCAGTTTGGAGTAGAATTGCAGGAAACCAAATCACATGGATCTTTGCCTCGATACTAAGTCAACAAAAGGGGACATCTTATGTACACCAGTTGGCCGTGTGAGGACCATCTGCTCCATACACTAACCCTTTAAAGCCCAGTGATAACTTACTAAATGTGCCTACAGGTTTAACAGTCAATAACTGCGCTTATGGGTTTTGCGTGATTCTCAGTGCAGACAGGAATTCTTTCCTTAAACAGCATTTGCAAGTTGATCTTTGTAATGAACAAATGCTGCCTGCCTTTGACATATAGACTCATAAATATAATTTTCATGAACTTTGGCTTCAGAAGGCTTATATATGAGCATTAATCAACTTTTAAGTATTTGTATTTGCCCCTTTCCAGCATTTCTCATTTGCTTGGTATTTTATTAGTAACTAGCAAAATTCTCCCGCAATCTTTAACTGCATGTAGTATGAATGTAGTATATGCTGACATTCATGCTGTAAGGATAGAAGGCAAGAAAGACAATTATTTTTCAAGGTCAGGACTAGTGAACTACCACAAGTTTGTCTGAGGTACCTCCAAAGTTATAAACTGAAAATGGAATTGCCCTGTATGCACTTGTTCCATTCTTTCTGTGCAGACTTCTGTGTTTGTGTGGAAGAGTTTGTTTTCATTTCAGAGTCTTATTGCATTCAGTAAATATGGCACTTCATTGCTTGCATAGTTCTGTAACCAATGGCAGATTTATGAGCAAACAGAAACTGTACTCTTGAAAATCCAAGCGTCCTGTGGCTGAAACTATATTTTAAAAAATAACTGATTTGTTGTTAGCATAATTGTAAGTTTGGAAAAAATAAATGTATTTGATGGGTGCTCGTAATATCCGAGAACGGTTGAAATTTACACTGTTCAAGTAATTTCCAGATGCATCACAATATGGCACCAAGTTTAAAGGATTGAATGTGGGTAGGACAATTTATATTCCTTTTCAAGTGGTTGTCATTGACATGAACGTAATTATAATGTTTCAAGTCAAAGATTTTCTCATATAACCTATTGTCCCTGCAATGTAAGTTCCTGCATGTGCATACATGTATGAGAACCCACATGTTGACTTGCATGGAACTTGCTTCGTAGACATAATACACAAAGAAATTGTAGTGAACCATCATATGTATGTACTCTACGTTACAGGCCTGTGCCACACTTGACATGTACTAGTGTTTGCCAAACAGAATGTTGAACAATATCAACTCCCATTTACTAGCAAAGTGACACAGTAAATATACAATGGAACAGTGAAAAATATGAAAGTGTCACCTGTGTTCCAGTTTGTGAAAAGTTTTTTGAATTATAAACTTTTTAACTTATTAACTTGTTGAATTAATGTCAGTATCACATTGACATATTTATTTTTATTTTCAGCCATCAGACGTCTACTCTGAAGAATCAGATGATGACTCTGACTACTCTGAGTATTCAGAAGATAGCGAAAGTGAAGGTAAGATTAAAAAAAAATGTATATTCTTTATTTGTTTCATTTTTACACACAACCCCTCCAAAGGAAACATCTTTGTGTGTAGCGATCAGACTATCAAACTCATTGGCACTGTTATTGTACCTGACTCTATTGTCAGAATTTTCAACCCTTCATATATAAATTTAATGTCTTCTCCTCCAAAATCTCAATTTGTGTCTCAGAGGATAATCCTGATATTGGCATTTCCCTTTTTATTGTAGAATTCTTTGAAGCATTAAATCATTGTTTGAGTAAGCTTATATTTGATGGAAGATTTTACCTGTAAATGTAAATATTTTGATAATAGTATGTGGGGAGAAAAAAGTATATTTGATTTAAGAGAAGAAAGTTTGAATGAAACTGCAGGAGTGGTAAAATGGCCAAAATTTGGTAGACAGTGGTAAACAGTGTTTGTGGAAGTTACAGTTAAAACAAATATGCAATATGTGCATGTGCGCTTTGTGTAAATATAGTAATGTGATGCTACTGAAGTGGTTTAAAAAAACACAACATGAAAGTTGCCATCCTAGTGCATAAGTACTTTTAATGGACAAAGAACTATGCATCTTCATTCATGTCTGTTTGTTTGTTGCTCAGAGGAAGAGTTGGCCAGTTCAGAAGAATCAGGAAAGGACTGGTCAGATCTGGAGCGAGAGGCAGCTGAGGCAGACAAGGAGCGCAGTGACTTCCAGGATGAATATGCCGGTTCAGACATTAAAGGGAAAGGAAAACGGCCTGGGAGTTTCAGAGGACTAAAAGATTCTAACCAGGACAGGTTAGCGACTTCAATAATTTTCAGATTCAGCACTGATGATCTTCATTACACGTGTCCACGTTTCAAATGAATTGCAGTCACCTCAGTTTTTGTGACAAGTTGATTTGTGAATGTGGTGAGCAGAAATTTGTAACAGACTTCAGAATTTTCTAAGTTTTTAAAATATGTATCTGTATGTTGTCAACCAAACGTTTCCTCTTTGTGTCAGACGTACAGTGTACAGGTGAAGAAAAAGGAAGAGTATGTCAACATAGAACTAGGCAGATTGCAATAGTAAAAAATAATATAGTTCAGTATTTATGTGTATTATATTGTTACTGCCCCATGAAGATGTAATTTCAGACAATGCAGAAAATAAGCTCTGCCTTCCTTATTGCAGAGTTGTTAAATGTCGTCATAATCGTGCCATGTAAGAGGATATCTGTCCTTGAGCCAGGGTTTAACGTTGTCCCTGAGCCTCCTTTTAAAATGAGTGAACGTTTCGTTTGTCAAGCAGAAGCTAACCTGATTTTTTGAACCCTGCACCTTATGTATGCAGATTTTGATGTTTGTAATTAAACTTTTCCTCCACTCGTAATTAAAGATACTACTTTTTGTTACGTTTGTTTCGCAGACATTCTTCAAAACACAAAAAGCACAGCAGTACCTCCAATCACAAGGACAACCACAAGAGTGGCAGCAAATCAAGTGATAAACACAGGTGAGTACTGACGTTTATGAATGTGGTTCCTCAGATGAATACAGTAGAATTGTAATAATATCGCCTAATTACATCCATATAGGAATTCCCTTCTTAAAGTGGGTGCCACCTGATGTATTGAAACCTGAAGGTGTTAAAGAAGTTTGTAATGAAGGGGCCAAAATAGTTTGGTCTTACTACGCAGATATGCCTTTCCTGTACTTTGTCTCCAGTGAAGACTACGTTTTTGAGAATATGAGGAATACTAAACACGGACATTTTGCTCTGGCTATCATTCTTAATGAGCTGGAGTAGCTCAGTCATTATAGTGACTGACTATGGACTGGATGATCATGATTCAATCCGCTGTAGGGGCAAAGCATTTTTCTTTTGGCGTCTTGTGTCCAGACTAGCTCTGAGACCTACCCAGCCTCCTATTCATTGGGTGCCACGGTTCCTTCCCTGGGGATAAAGCACGGCCAAAACATGATGCTCACCACTCATCTCTGTCTAGTGCCAAGATCAAGAAGGAGTAGGAGCTGTGTCTTCTCTCCCCCCAAGCAGCTCCATGGCAAATAACAGGACAGCTTTACTTTTATCATTCACAGTATGGGGGTACCTGAGTACATTTGAGAAGTGAACTCCAACCATTGCCTACGCAGGCAAAAACCAAGAATATTGAATAAAACTTAACTGGTGTCATTAGACACAACTAATGCAGTATTTTTATGTAGGTTCTGTGCTTGCAGATAGGTCAGATTTCAAGATTGTATTGAGGTGACGCACTCATAAAAACATAGATTTTTAGAATGCTGCCTGTGCAGAATATAGGTATAGTGAATAAATTTAAAATAGAAATCATTGAATTACATTCAAAGTACACTGGAATGACAGGAAGCGTTCTGCATAATACTATATCGGTGCTGTATCGTCGTAGCCACTTCCTCTCTTCTTGTCACTTGTTGTTTCATTTATCTCGTAGTTTTCAGCTTCCTGGCCTTTTTAAAAGGTAGTGAGGGGCATCACAGCAGTTTGTCTGCCAGTACGTTTGTTTAGCTTGAATTGCAACACAGATTATTGACTATTAAAGTCCAGTGAAATGGATGGCAGTGAGAATGTTATGATTATTGTGTCTGATGATAAGATTCTACTGTGCTCAAAAGAAAAAGCTTCTGCCCTTTATATGTTTTATACACACTAATTTTAAGAATGAATAAATTTGGGGTAAAAGAACTGCATGTTTTACACCAAGTAAATATGGTGTATGCGGAAACTTTTCTTCTAAATCTAAATAAAATAATCGAAGTGAACTAAAATAATATTCTTCTCATTTTTATTTTTGGATGCCGCATTTGGAAAGAAATTCATAACGCAGTTGGTTAATATATAAATTTAACATCAAAAACTACTACGCTACTACTAAAGTTACGCAGAAATTCATTGCCATTTTACATTGAAGTATTATGAATTAATTATATGTCATGAGATTGTGTATTGTTTGCCTTGTGCTGCCTAGGCAAGCCCGCACAAAGAGTGGCAGAGCAGGTGGGCACAGGAAGGTGCCACCTTCATCAAAAAACAGGTTAGAAGGGTGCTCATATTTATGCATTTGATCTTTTATGCATGATTTCATAGAAGTGTCATTGAGTGATCATAATGTTTGCATTTATGTGTTCACCAATTTACAAATTTCAGTTTGTCATTTTATATGAATGAGGCTTTTTACTATTGCCTCGAAGCCCCAATAGAAAGAGCTTAACCTGTAATGAGGACTTCAATATAGGAAGCTTAATTATTGGCACCATCAATTTTGTAACATTGCGTGTATAGAAAATGTCAAATTAAATTAGAGGTTTTTCCATTTAGTTTCACCTTAATGAGTGATTTTTACCTAGTCATGACATTTAACGCTAATTACATGCAGTTTTACTTCTGAAGCTTGTTTATAGCTGGTGGTCTGTAAAACTGCCATTGACCCATCATATGTGCCTGTCCCTAGTCTATGAGGCTACCATTCACACAAATGATGATGTGAACTATCAGAACTGCAGAATTTGTGGCAATTTCAATCTGCCCACTATAATTTAATCACAGCCTAGTGGTTAGCATTCTTGCTTCATACTTAGGAGGTCAGTTTCAAATTTCAGCCTTAAGACTGGCTGTCCTGACTGAGGTTTTTCATGGTTTTCCTCAGTCCTAACCAAATCCTGGGATTATTTTAAATGTGGTCATGGCCACTTCCTTTCACGTTCTTTCCAATTTATCTTTCATTGATCGTTCTATCATTCAGTGCTTAAGAGTCTGATCTACTGACAGTGTCATTAAATCAACCATTTTGCAAGTATCTACTGAGCTTTGAAGTTTTCCTTGATATTTTGGAGGACTGTGTTTATGTAGCAGTGGTCATTTTCTACAGGATGGTGTTCTACCACAATTTAATAACATGATACACAGCTGTCATCATTATGCAGTTTTCTCCGTACCCCATCGTCTTCTCTCCTAGGCCCAAATATCCTCCTCAACACCCTATTCTCAAACATCTGGTGCCCAAAATAAGCAAAGCAAATTCCAGTCATTTTCCTGATTTGTTTTTATTCTTTAAGATTCATCCCAAATAAACGGCTGCCCCGATTAACCAATAACGCAATTAACTGGAATCTACTGTTCAAGGAAAAATGTTTATTTCTGCCTCTGCATCAAGAATAGTTGTGCAGTAGTGGATTTGTAAGGCCATTAAAGCATGCAGTATGAATTTTAGGAAAATGTGAACTACATTGGCATATACCTGCCCACTCTTGTAATGTTAAATAATATTTGTGAGGTACTTGTTCTGGTACATTACTTAAGTGCTGGTATTGTTTCACAGTCCATCAAAGAGTCGAGATAAACACCATGATAAACACAAATCTTCACCTTCAAGCAAGAAGAGGTCCCGTGAAGATAGTGGTAGTCGTGACAAACACAGCAAGAGGAGGTGAGTTGTTTCCATAACTGAAAAGTGTTTTGGCATTGGTGCATTACAGTGACTGAAATGCAAGTCACATGCTGATGTTAATGTTACTAAAAAATGTTAAATTTCTTATTGATTTTGTTGGATTTCTGCAACATAATTGCCGTTATGTCTGATAATATGTCAAGCATGCATGTTGTTGGAATATTGAAGGATGCTGTTTGGATAGATCTATGATGGTTAAAGATATTGCAGTGTTTAATGTCTTTTTATGCATGTTTTGAAACTTACCTTTATTTGTATTAAACTGCAAGTGTACTCTTTGTTCCATTTTAGAACATATAGCAACATGTATAAGTGTGTTCTTTTCACACGTGCTAGCTTCTTGTTCATTTTAGCACTTATCGTTATTCCCAAGATATTCCTCTTGTACAATGGGTGAGTTTTGACATTTAATATTTAAATTTGAGTTTATTACAAAAATAAAATTTAATATTTTACTTGCAGGAAGTAAGAGTACAGATGTTGGAAAGGGTAGTCTCGAGGGCTGCGGCAAAGTGAATCTCCACCATTCCATAATTGAAAGAGGCTCTGATAGATGATACGAAACGAACTTCGATTCCAACCTTCATTGTATTCTGGCATGAGAGAGCTATGGTCTTGCATATGGAAAAAACCAAAAGCACACAGAATTCAAACCATGTTTCTGACAAAAGAAAATGACAGTCAAAAGTAAACTTTCAAAATCACGAAACTCCTATATGTCCACTGCAGTCATTTTACAGTTACAGATCGCTACAGCAAGTGTCAAGGGGTAATGACACTGGCCAGACGAACTGACAGATGATAGTAGTAAGTTAATTAGAATTGTCACATAGAAACATATGTGCAGAAGTGTGTAATTTTGGTTCAAGCTCAGACTGTATGATTGATTTCAAGTGTTGTGAAGAACTTAGGAATGATGTGTTGTATCAGAAATATATTTGATACATTATTACAGTTTTTATGACGTGTGATATGTTTTGGAAATGTAAGTATTAAAGAGTTCATGAATCTTACTTTCTTTCCAGATATTGAAAAACATTATTCTTCATGTGGAATGTAGAGAGTAAATTTCTCTAAAGAGGTAGACAGTTATTTCATCTTTTACAGAATTTTTCAAAATATTTCATAGTTGCCTCTGTCCCCAAGGCCTTACTATAAAACAAAAAGTTACTGCAAATATTCACAGTTTCTGCGTGTGCAGTATGAGAGGCAGGCATGTCTGGAATTATTATTTTTTAAGCTACTTACATAATGTGAAAAACAAAATTGGTTATGAAAATGGTCCCAACTGAGTGTGTGCTTACAGATAATTTTCTTTAAAAAGTATAATTATTTTAGTACTCTTTCATTATTGATTTTACAACAGCTTTCATGACATTTCTTTATTACCCATTTGTAAAAAGAACAGGTGGTAATTTTTTAATGTTGTGAGAGATTAATTTATTTGGCAAGATAATATGTTGCATAAAGCAGTTGGGTTAATAGTGACTTCAGGAATAATTCAAACTCAACCTTGAAAATACTCAAAGTTTAAGTTTTTATGAGCTGAAATAAATCTTTCTACCTGCCTGTACTTATTTTGTTATAGGATGTCTTAACAAATAATGTAAATTATATATCACAATGTGCAACTTCGATTATTGGGGATAAGCTGTGTTAAATGTTGAAGGTTATTCAACATTTCAGCAAACAATGCGGTTGTCATCTTCAGCTGTCACTAGATCTTCTGCTTGGCTTGCGTTTACAAATCATCCTGGACTTGGGATTGAGGTCTTTGCATTGAACCCAGCTGACTAGTTTGTATGATTTCACCTGATGGAAGCAAAGCCAGCTTCCAGAATATTGTGGTTCTGAAAATGTTTTAAATGAATCTATTAAAAAAGTCGTAGAAGTTCAGTTTAAGATGCACCTTAATCAAAAACCTCTAGACAAATCTTGGAAGACTATTGGTAAGATACCACATATTTTCATCTTCACTTACTATGTGTGGATCTAGTCCGAGGATATGACTCGAACAATATTTTCTGGTCTTTGCACTGTAAGCATCACAATGTGAGATACTGTGTGTCATGCTGTACGTGACAAAGAATACAGTGTTCAAATCATATGTGTTAGCTTGTTTGTTCAAACAAACAGATAATTTCATTTGAATGTTAATTTAAAAGATGGTAACATAACTATGTTAAGTAGCTCATCAATTAGTCATCGTGAGCTCTTAAACTCATCAGTTTAAGGGCTCATAGATCTCTCAGGCTTTCCAAATCCTTGCTGAGAAGTGTTATGTTAAATATGTTCAATGCCCATAGTTGACTCATTTTGACATTCATACTTGGAAATTGTAGGTTTTTCAGGGTGCTGAAGTTGGTTAACTGAAAGTGACATGAATTGCGAGCAAACAGTAACACAAATTTATTTTTCAGGTAATGGGGAGATTTCCTTTTAAAGGAAGATGTACTTATACAGAAATATTTCTGTTCCCAAGTGTTTCCATTTTAGATAGGGACTTACAGATTAAAGAAATATTCAGTACATGTCCCATATGTTTATTACCCAGATCATAAGTCCGAAATTCATGCTGTGTGTGTACGCTACGGTGTCATCATTAAACAGCATAAATTTCCAATTTTCCCTCTTTTATTTTTCTCCCCTTTCCCTCCACTTCAGTGATCCATGAAAGTATTCTGCATCTATTCTTTTAGCAGTTGGGCCTAAATCTTTCTCATCTGTGACAGGAATTTTCCTTCTAAGATAAATTATGGGTTGTACTGTAATATACACAATTTCATGATCAGTGAATAATAAAATTTCAAGCAGACTAATTGATGTTATTTTCTTAATTTGTTCCCAACTCAGTTACGGTTTAAATCATAATTTTGCATTTATTTTCAGTCTGTATTCGTGGGATTAGAGACTTTTTCAGACAAAGTTTAGTTTATATTTAATCTGCCCAGTGGATTATTGATCCATGCAAATACTTCATTTGTTACCCTTTGGCACACCAATTTTCAGATATGGAGAACATTTTGTGTTATATTATTGAGATATCATCTGTTGGTAAGCTGATTGTCATCTGTATTAGCCAGTATATGATGGTTCTTTTACCAGTTTGGATGAGAGTGGATCTGTGATAGTTGCTAAACAGAGAACATAGAAGTACATAATATATTTTTTTCATACTTGTCAGATTCTTCATTAAAGTCATGAATGTAATCGTTAAATGATTTGTTCTCACAATTTGTTTACATATATCATCATTAATTATCAAATGTTAACAGCAAAATTAAGTGATTAAAATATGACTGCATTTTTTTACAGTGAAATGTAGGTACAGCAAACTTCATTGTATGTAGAAAGTTTGTTGGAATGTAATTTTGTAAGAAAAATATATATAACATTTTCTTGCAGACTGTAGTTATGTGTATCGCTTATGAATGAACATGTGTTTGAAAAGTGTATTTATTTGGTGCTGCATTATTGCCTGTGATTTGCAGGTCTTCGTAGAGATATCATATTTGAATTGTAATTATTTTTAAAACACAAGTTTAGTTATGAAGTGTTTTTAAGCATTTCTTGTAACTGCTTTGCATTCAGGATAGCAGCTACATTTTTTGTCTCTTTGTCAGTCAGTTAGTCTATCATTTGTGCTGCTTCGATTCTCTGTTTATCCCGAAGTCTGTATGTAAAGGTCCAACATTGGTTTATAAAATTTCAATTCGTTTGTCTGTTGTAATGTCTGTTAAGGACACAATTAATTGTATTTTATTATCTTTTGATGCTAATGTTATATTGAAGACAGTTCCCATCGACGTGCGCGCTACAAAGGACGAGGTTTGTTACGCAGCAGCCCTGAGGAGAGCAGAGATTGCTTTCGAACCGTTGGCAGAAATGGTTTATTCACCATTCAGCCACCTGTCGCTGCTCCTTACCCGAAATTCTTTCATCAACTTCAGTTGCCGCGAAAGCTTCACTTTAATGTAATAATATTTCTTTATTGGGATGCAGTGTTCAATTCCAACTTCACCAGAATTTGGTTCCATATTTCAGATGTTGGTAGAATCGTAAGAATGGGGCGAAAAGTTGTGGACTTGGAAGGATTTCGAAATGTTCGGAGAGAGTGGTTTTATGTAATTAAGTCTGCATTAAACGAAGGACTCGCGTATTCATAGTTTTCAGATGATGTAATATAATGACAAGTTTATGTTGTTGGATTGAACCGAACTTGGTTCTGTATTTGGAAAGTGAAGGCAAAACCGACGTATTTGAGACTGTGTTAAAGCGCAGAATTCTTTAGAATCTGATAATATTGATATCCCAAAAGTACGTTTGTAAATAACGTAAAAAAGAATTTACAATCTTTTCGTTAAGCGCCCTCGTGAAAAATTCTAATGTGATAAATGCACAGAATTATTTCCGAGAACATTTCAGAACAAGAAACTACATTGGTAAGTATGTCTAAGAGACTTGACTCACGAAATTCAGATTGTAGTACCATTATTTTCATATAATTATTATTTTGCCTATGTTGAATTTATAAGTTGTCGTGTGATGTAAGTACAACGGTATGTTTTAAGTTATATGACAACAGTGACGTCCGAGAAGTGTATAGTAACTGGGCAGGACAAACAACCTGTTTACAGTTTTGTTTAATTTTAGGAGAGTTTACAAGAAGTTGTAATTTTCATGTGACATTAAATATCACAAGCCTGTAACTCTGGTAATATGACATCTACAAAACTGTTCAGTTAAGTATTGAGGGTGTGTTAACAATCATATTTATTGTCTGGATGTAGATACCTGACAGAATGAGCAGTAACAGATAAACCTGTTTATCCATGTAATTGGCAGAGTAACTGAGCTATTTGTCCTTGTGGTTTACCACCTGTTCAGTTCTGGCAGAGAAGAAATTAGGGCTTTGTGTCCGCACACACTGGTACGCCTCAGCCTTCACCTTGTCATGGCTGAAGAGTTTTCTTTCAAAATCAAGTGCTTTAGTGAGGTGAAAGTTATAGGCTGGACAAAGGTCAGGGAGTATGATGTAATCATCAAGACATTTGTAAAAAAAAGTGCTTCAAGAGTTGCATTGTGATGTATGTTGTGTGGAGGTTGATATTGTTATGGAGGATCAGTTTCTCTATAGACAAGTTCAGGAATTTCATTTTCATGACTTCCTTTAAACTCCACATTGTTGCATCGAAGTGGTTTGTATTTACTCTTACCCCATGCTCTAGGAAACTTGATGCCGAATGCTTCATGTGTCCGGAACTGCTGTCAGCAGTCTTTCTTGCATTCTGCATGGTCTTGAAAGGCATATCATAGTCCAAGTAGGCTATGATATGAGAATTTCAGAACATGTCACAGACACCAGAGTAGAAAACCAATGATCAGCTGTAGCCATTCTCCTTACAGACAAAATATAGTATAAACTCTAGCGAAAAAGAAGTTCAAGTTAATGCCCTGCATTATCAGGGAAGCCATATAAGCAGCAGAACGCACATAGAACTTCAGTCATGGTGCCAAGTCTATGTGTGTGTGTGTGTGTGTCACTTTGTCGTACCAGTGATTCACTGTGTCTGGTCTATTTAGTGAATTTAGGGAATAATAAATTATAGGAACAAATTCAGAATTTGTTCATTTTGTTTTAGTTGTATTAGGGTGTGAATAGCAGTGACTTGCAGAATTGTTTTCTGTTATATTGGTGTTATCACTGATACAGAATGTGACAACCAGTTTTTGCTATTACTGATTGGAGAATTATTATATCAGGTATTAATATTCTTAATTCCTTGCACTGTAATGGTTAATAATGTATTTAAAATGTTATGGATTCTTTAATCTTCAGCTCTTTTGTTTCAAGATGGAGGCTCCTTGTTTGTCGGCATGGATGTGTTTGGAGTGAAAGAATCTATTTTAATACAGCTTAGTAGTTAAATGTCACCTCGATGTAGTTTAGGGAAACAGTTTCATAACCATTTCTGATTCTCATAACATTCAGTGACATTGTTAGATGTGATAAGTGAGCGATAAATATGAAACTTTATGTCAGTTGCTGGTATCTTGCATTGTGCCATACATAATTGATGTGTGGCCAAGCGGATTGATCTGTTCTTGTCTTTGGAGAAGTGCCTACATCAAATCATGGCTGAGTTACCACTGTTTTTTTAATTGAGTCTTTTTGCTGTTTTGTGAATTCTGGGATGGCATTTGAAGTAAACCGCGACTGCCTCCTCATGAGTCCTTCCTTTTCATGTTCTCATCTCATTCAGAATTATGTAACAATTTGTTAGGGTGATTTTCAGAAGTTGTGGATGTTCACTTTTGTAGCATGTGACGGGATGACAGAGCACGTGGTTCATGAGTGGCTAGCCGATTACAGTGCGCTCAGCCCTGTTGAGGTGCATAGCTTTGCTAGCAGTCTGGAGCACGACCAGGAGGTAGTGGCAGCTCTGTACACAGTTCTTGAGGAGCGCAGCAAATATCAGGAGGTATTTCAGTACTTTGCTTCATTTGATATGCCCCCTTATCTGTAATTTATGCAGATGTTCTGTAGCCAGGTTTCTTTGGGTAGTAAATGAATCCATGTACATTTTGATAAGCACTTCAAAAAATTTAAGTCATAGTTTGAGGGTGCTGTCTTTTAATTTAATTTAAGTATATTTTGTGATACCATCTTTCTGTATTCTGCAAATACATTTTTTGCTGGCTTATGAATTAATAACTGAGAATACTGTTTTGTAGAAGTACAAATCTTTATAGAAATACAATATCCCAGTAACAGAGTAATTTTAATCTTGTTTTCCTATACTGTAGGCATGTTTTGACAACTTGAATGACACTAATGTGAAGAGAAATTGTTTATTTTAAAAAAAATTGCACATTTAGATTCTCAGAAATACTGGTCTCATACACAACTTTTTTTTAATAGGTGGACATTGAATATTCCATATCCCAGTTTGGATTAGGCATGTTGATAAGTATGTTTAATGTTGTGATTACGTTTCTGTGGGGACATCATAGAATAAAATGGGATTTTTTAGATTGGCATTTTTAAGATTTTAAATTATGTATGTAATTTTTCTTAAATATTTGAAAATTGGTTCTATTTCTACATGTTACTGCTACTCACTGTGATGCAAACTGTAAAAAAGTACAAAATTGAAGAGCCTTCAGAATAAATAAGGAAAAAGATAACATATCTCGTCACTGCGACTTAATAGTGCACTGCATTTGTTAGAGGAAGTTTACAGCACCAACAGCAAAGCTTGACTAGAAGTTATTGGTTTTTCTGTCAGAATATGTCAGGTTATTTATTTTAGTACAATGTAAATAGCCGTCACATTCTGTGATATCTTGCAGTTGATTGATCCTGTATGCAACCAGCTGTTTGGATTCTACCGTTCCCGTGAAATAGAACTACAAAGGTTCACACTCCAGTTTCTGCCCACACTCATTTTTGTGTACCTGAATTCTGTTGCGCACGGGGATAAAAAGGTACTCTCTTGCTCTTTGATGAGTTATTTTAGATTGTTTGAGTTTCATTTGCATTTTTCTATGTTCGTTTGTGAATCACAATGAAATATCAACACTAATAATGGTGGATGACAAAAATATAAACATCATCTCTGTCCATCTGGGCATTTAACACTCTGAAGCTTGGTGGTAATTATATGTACCATGTACTTTAACATCCAGTAACTGTGTATTTTGCCCACATAGTGTATTTTTGGTTTCATATGATTCTTAGAATAACTAGTTAGTATTTCACATTTTGCAGTTTTTATATATATATATATATATACCAGCATAATAAAAAAGCTGCATCTTACAGCAGTGTGATTTTTAATTATTTAAAGCTCTTATTTCAGAGCTGTCGCAGCGTTGAAACACTGCTTGTTGGGTTGTACAACCTAGAAGTGGTGGATGAAATTGGTCAGCCGAAGGTTGTGTCATTTCGGCTTCCATCACTGGCACAAGCTTCCATTTATCATGAGGTATTTACACAGATTATTGATTCACTACATGAATTTTGTGTGACAGTGGTTGTTTCATTATACTATAATTATATATATATATTAATATTATGTATTCTTCATTGTTTGAGGTGGACTGTGCTTTATATACACAGTGTTTCTGGAGTTTGGCTGTTCTTGTATCTTTGGTTAACATAAAATAATGAAGTTTTTGTTATAATTTTATTACTTTGTTCAGTGTCTATTTTTAAATAGTAGTGGTGATGGTTAGGAACAAACCTGGGACATCTCAAATATTAGGTTAGTAGAAGTTCGTAGGAAGTGCCATAGTATTCTATTATTAGTATAATAGTGTAGTTTTTGGAAGGTCCGATGTTTGGTTTGTGCTGTTGCCAGTGATAATAAAACATATAAAATTATAAAAAAAATCTGTCATTGTATTGACAATCGCCTAAAGAGTAGGTAACTTGTGAAACATGATGTATAACCCATACACCATTCCATCATTGACAGTGGACAATGTTTAATATAATATTAGTATATCATGATGCTCTTAACATGTCTTTCGTTATTATGTCTCTCTCTCTCTCCCCGATATCCTCGATGCGTTCGCTTAAAAGTTTGGGTTGAATTTGTTGTTTCAGCCAATGAGCCTCGCACCATGTTCTCTGACAGAAAGTGCATTGCGGAGGCTAGAAGAATGCAACACAAAACTGGTGAGCTGGGGACCACTTCCTCAGGTCGAGGCACTTAATGCTCAGAATAGGCTCAAAGTCATGACAGCTCTCCTCTTTGTTTATAACCATCAGCTTAGTCTGCTACACAAGTCAGCTCTGGAGCATGTCTGCAAAGTGTCTTCCAAGTAAGTGTTCCAGGCAGTCCAGCATAAATCAGTGACTTGGTGAGAGATGTAACTGGGGTTATTCAAATAGACAGTTATAGTGAAATATTGATGTTCCATGCTTCTCAACTGTTTCGAGCCAATATTGTCTCTTCATGAAATGTTCATATTGATTTCCCAGCATCATGTTTTAATGAGGAGCATTATCTTAATCCATCAACATTTCCCCAGGACAGTCCATTGTATTTACAGCCAACCTTGCCCTTCTGTATTTAACCCTTTGACGTCAATCACCATACCCCGCGTAGTTTTCCTCGCCGTGCGCGTGGTCCCTCCACAACATCCTTTGTTTCTGCCATGGTTGCTTATTTTCCATCTTCATATTTACTGTTTTCAAAGAGTTCTGTTGTCATCCACAAATAATACTTGTATGTGATGTTAAGCCAGGTCATGAAGAAGTAGGTAGTGAATTAACCCAGCAAGTATTTTGTGATAATGGTGATGAATGGTTTGGATTTCTGGTATTTCTTCAGCATCCAATTAGAATTGGTTCTTACAGGTTGGTGACTCAGGGTTTCCACAAGCCAGGCCATCACCAGCGCTCATCATATGGGTCAAGCGACTTGAGTTTCGTTCCACGCCTGTTGCCACGAATCCCTGTGAGCTCACAATTCCTTCTGGAGCTGCTTCATGCTGTGTACTTTGCCATGTTTAATGACTTCAGTTACATTGCCACTCAAGCTCTTGAGGATATCTACGGCCGCGCCTGTCACGAGGGATATGCGCAGGTGGTGCTGGTCACTAGTGCTATCCGAAACTCGCTTCACGTGAACCCGTCAGGTACTGCGCGTGTGTAAGGTGTCACTTTATATGTGATTATTGGTGACATGGTTTTGAATATGGGTCATGCTGGCCAGGATTTGTATGCGGCGTTCTTTACGCAGATTGTGTCTGTACATCCATTTAACAAATTTCTCTTAAATTTTATATCAGGATTGTACTTTAAGCATTATCAGCCTAGTCTAATTTTGGCCTGTGCCCGGTCGATATACTTCTTGTTTTGTATGAAGCTGAAATCAGACACTGTTAGTTTCCCAATAATTGTTCAGTGATCAAAACATTTATAGTGCATAAACAATATCGTCATAATATTTAGACAAAACTTGTTGCAGTATACATTTAATGAAGGTAAAAAGTGGCTTTCCGACCATTTACATTTTTTAGCCGTGTAACGGCATATTTTAATGTGCGGCAAGTGGACGTAAAGGTTGATGAGGCATGTGAAATAGCTGTAGAAATGAATGTGGACCTCTTCACTTTCATTTTTCCACAATTTGATTTTTTGACATTTGATTAGGTAATGAAAATTGCATTGTTGTTTTAATTGCGTAGATGTTTTAAGTGGTACAGGATAAGTACATCCTTTGTTTCATTCATATCTATATGTGTGTGTATGTCTGTCTGTCTTGCAGGCCAGCCTGGTGATGGACCAATGGGGATCAGTGTAGCCTTGTCTCCTGCTACCACTACTGTCACCACGGTTTCAAAGTCAATGATTACTAATGCCTCATTCCGCACCAAGAAACTGCCAGGTAGGAAGTCGTCCATGTTTTTAATGTCTTATTGTTTTCTTGTGTCATTGTTTTGTTGCGTCTCATTGTTTTGTTGTGTCTCATTGTTTTGTTGCGTCTTATTGTTTTGTTGTGTTTTGTGTTTTTTGTCTTATTGTTTTGTTGCGTCTCATTGTTTTGTTGTGTCTCATTGTTTTGTTGCGTCTTATGTTTTTTGTCTTATTGTTGTGTTGTGTTTTATGTGTTTGTGATAATCTTTTGTTGCAGATGATATACCCATCCAGGTAGCAAAAGATGAGTCTGGAGTTACAGGGGGTGAGGGAAAGAATCTTACATCCATATCAGAAGAACAGGAAGAGGAACGAATGACACCCCGAGGAAGTTCACTTAGAGGAGGTAAGAACCTGCCAAAACTGCCAAACTTTCCAGGTTTGGGTAAGAAGGCCAAGGCTGCAGCTGGAGGTGGTGATGTGGGTGGGAAGAAGGCTCAACCAGGTATGAAGCCTGTAGCTTGCAATGGGGATTCAGAGCCAGAGAAGAAACCTGCAGCTACCATAAGCGCAGAGAATACGAACGGGCCTCTTTCGCTGGATGGAAATGGCACTGCCAATGGAAGCATAAGCTCAGAACAGGATCGAGCCATTTCCGAGTTAAGTGAGCTGAGTGGACCGTCTGACACTCAGTCTCTGGTTACGGCAGACTCCATCGACCTGGATGATGCTACGACACTGCTTACGGTACGCAAAAAGCCTTCTTTGGAGTTAGAAAATCGAGCTGCTCTCCAGGTGAGCTCTGTGTAAGGTGGCTGCCAGACCAGACCATTCCAATAATAAGAGCAGACTCTTTTCATATGGGCTGTTGCTTCTAGTGCTGCCACATGTACAAAATCAAGTTTTCTGTCTGTTATTCCACACAGGCGTGTAATATAATTAATTCGTTTCTTTCTGTAAGATGATAGTAATGGCCGTTTGTTGAATAGGATTTGAGATTCTCACCAGTGAGTGTGAAGATGGCTATCATCAGAGTTGTAGCACTGCGTAGTCTGGTAGATGTTTACCAACGTTTCACAGTTCCTTGCTGTCGTCATCATTACCCTGTTGATGCAGGCGGGTAGAATCTCTGAAACATTGGTAAACTTCTATCAGACTGCACGGTCCCCGGAAGGTAGCCATTTCGTGGAAGTTTGTTGGTTATTTCCTTGGACAAAAGTTTTAAATTTGCTGTAACAGTAGTAATGATGATTATGATGATGGTGGTGCTTGTGAGACAGCGACAGATAGCCTGTGACATGGCATGAAAATAACAGTGATGACGATGGCGACCGCGGAACAGTGCTGATACTGCTTTTTGGTGCTGGAACTATGTGGAAGCTGGTTGTGTCGATGATATTTAGAGGACATACTGCCTTTATCAGGGTGGATAATTATAGGCAGTGTGCCAGCTTCCACATAGTTGCAGCACAAAAGTGGGATCAACATCAGTAAGTCACTGTGAGAGCTTAAAATCAACAACAGCGATAACAGCTGATGAGTAACACCAATGATGTGGTTGTCCATTTTTATGTACGTTAGTCCAGTACACGCACATCATAGTCACTGTGCTGTTGTGGTGAAGCGAAGTGTATTGACAGAACGGCTAATGCTGATTTTGTAACGCGTACAAGAGGACATTGCCGAGAAGCATCACTGTCCTATTAACTGCGATACTGACTGTTCTTAATGCCACATGGATCATATTTGTTTCTTAGGTGTTTGATATTGTTTCTCAAAAAAGAAAAAAATTTCGACGCTGTTGAGTCATTTGATAAGATCATTATAAAGTTTTGTGGGGTGATGTTCTGCATGATTGAGTTATTGCAACTATCAAATATTTACTGCGTGAAAGAATTATTGGCACATCTTCATTCGGGTTTGGTTTCGTTTCGTAGTTGCTACTCCGTCGGTTTTGCTATATTTCGAGCACCATTACTTTTCTTGACCATTTCATTTGATGTCACTGAATTTAAATCCACAAATTATGAATAAAAGAAATTTATATACTGTACTATATATATTATAATATGTATGTATATATATTGAAAAGATCTTTCCTGAACATAAGTCAGGTAATTTAGTAACATAAGCAGCTTTATTCGTTGATAGAAAGTCGGCCCCTTCATATTTTTTAGAAGGTTATGCATTTAAGAATGATGTAATTTAAAAACCATTATATGTCTTTAGGTTATGTAAATAACTCCTATGAATTTTTCTTCAAAATTCTTATTTTGTTTTCATTTTAGATTATAATTTTGCAGCACAGTCATTTACCCTTTGTGTCACTGGACATTTAAATACACTGCTTCTCAGGGCAGAGATCTTAAATTTCACATCCTAGTGATGAACTCACTGCTTAAAATTGAAGTATCTTTTGATCTAATGAATGGATATGTTTGAAATTTTGTTGGGTATGTACTTAAAAACATGCAGAATTTAACTGTGTTTCTAAAACTTATGTATGGTTATTCATTGGCTCAGTAATTCATTTTCAAAGCATTCCCTGCGCTCCGTGCAGTAGTACACAGTCTCATCCTTTCTGTCATGCTTGGTTGATACAACAGACATTTGCAGTCTTGAATTTTTCACGTTGGTTGCCCTTTTCTCAGAGAGTGACGTTCTATTATGTTGTCTGGTGTATGCCTTCCATGTTGGTCTACTTTTCTACAACTATGCAGAATCACCATTCTTGTTCCCCATTGACTCCTCCTCTTTGCATAACTGTGATGGGGCTAGTCTGCAGGGAATCGCGTGGTCTCTCATTCCGACCTGCCTTCCCGTCTTGTGTTTCAGAGTGTCCGGTGCCCTATAGGGTCTTACATTTATGGAGTAATTTCCTTGCGCCAAATAAATTAAATGTTTTTCCTTGTTGGTGCAGCTTGATCGCCTGTTAAGTAAAACATCCTGATAGTTGAATAATGTTTTTTGAAGGGAATTTTTGGAATTGAGATGTTTTCCCCTTTCTGTTTCAACACATCTCTATGTTCTTTCTGTTTGTCATAGTGTGTTTCACTGACACTGCAGCTTCTTCCTTCTCTGCAATATTTCATGTCAATAACTGGTTCCAGAATCTCTTTCCTTGTCTTGTATTTAACATCCTGGTTTCAGTGTGCCCGTCTACGACCCTCATTATAGAGCCTGTAAAAAATCTGCTGTCAGAATTTCTTTGGTACGTGTGGTACTTCACTTCCACTGTCTCTGGTAAAGGAGATTGTTTTCACGGCGAATCTAAAGATCGCCGTCTTCTGGGTCGGCGGTCATCTGCCGGATTACGCGGCGCAACAACCCAGAAGACGGCAAACTTCTGGGTTATTATGTCCTCATTTTTGTTTGAGTTTGATTTTCTTCACTATCAGTCGTCTGTATTGAAATGCCATGGCCCCAACCTCAGCATACTTGTGACTGTATCGGAGGAAATGTGTTCCCTGAGTGCTGCTGCAATTAATATTGACGTGTTTGCTCACTAGTTAAAATGTGAACGCAATTTCTATGTCTCTCTGACTTATTTTGGTCTCTATTCATCTATGGGTTTTGATAATGAAACCATCTGCACTATTGACACTGACCATTTCATTACATTAAAATCCTACCCTTTTACAAAAACTAACGTCTGTTGCTCAATCAAGAAGCAAGGACAATCGGTTTTCATCGCTCACATGAGGTCTAAAGCAACGTACACTGGCGATTATTGGTACAGCCTGCCGACGTTCGAACCCACGGTCCCAGTGACCGAGCGGCACAAGGCCCGCGCCTCAGACAGCGTGGCCACTGTGACCCGACACGTAAGATACAGGAAGCGCATTAAAGAATGTGTAACACATATTCCCTGATCTTTGCATGTATAGTGGTTTTTAAATACATCCAGTAAGAATATCCATATGAAGCATACCTGATGTGAGACTATTTCGCAAAGTGGCTGTATTTTTACAGCTCTGAGACCTATACTATAATATTTACTCACAGGAATTGCTGTATCTTATTGGACTTTGCATTATTATGAACTACATGTGTAAAGTCTGTGATGCTGATGTTAAGTTACTTATGTGACAGGTGTCGTTATTAAAGAATAAGTAAACTTTATGGGAAGGAGAACTGTGTTGGAGGCCTATTGCATTTACGGTGTGCTGTGGAAGGAATACCATGAAATATGAAGTCACTTGTTCAAGTGACATGTTCATAATGTCATCTTGACAAGAAATGTTGTGCTTATTGACGGAACTCATAGTTAAAGTTGTCCGTTAATAATTTTTCACTTTTTGTTTTCATATTGAGCAGCAGAAATGACATCTTCCGAGATATTGCATTACTCTCTTGTTACATTAAAGCAATTTTGGAGGATACATATTTAAACAGTCTGTTAAGAACGTTGTGTGTAATTTTTTGACGAATTATGTCTGCATTTAAAGTGTGATATTACTCTGAGATAAAATCTGCAGGTACATTGTCAATATCCTCCATGAGGTAAGAACCTCTGATCATAATCTCCTCAAGAAAATAACTTCTCCAGATTAAGAATTTGTTTCACTACATTGTTTTGTCCATAAGTAGTCTTAGGAACTGGAAGTTTAGTAGGTGTTATAAAGTTCTGTTATTTTTGTTCTTTAATGATGCAGTATATTTGCAAAAGAGCTTTTCCTACCTGTCTGCAGTATGTGTTTCTTCATGATCACTCTGCTGTGTGTACAGTAAGTCCTGTGTGTGGTAGCAGTCGTGTTACATAATTGGTTGGAACTGTACCAAGCAGAGGCAGAGACGGTTCATATAATTTTTACGTAAGTCAGTTGTCTGTTAATAGATGCAGGTGTACATTGTAACTTGTCATTTAAAATGTATCGTCATAACTTCTGTGAATGATTCTAGCACATGTCTTGTCTCCTTGTGCCTGCGTTTTGTAACAAGGGGTTTTGAAACTTTATTCTGTCATCCACGTTCTCTACGGCATTGCAGCCTCTAAAAACTGTACTGCACGCTATATGTGGCATATTTTTTCCTCTCAGAAAATTCTCGTATGTTGCCCTTGAAGTCGGCCTTGATTACGTTGTTCCCCATATAGAACACGCATGATGCTCCGCAACCTATGCAGTTGATACAAAAATTGTTGAGTGCCAGTTCATTGTATAGGGTAATACAGGTGTTGTAAGGGTTGACTAGGTTATGAATAAGCATATAATGAAGTTGAAATATTGAAGTGTGTTATGTTGTAGGTTCCCTCTTCATACATATGTACAGGTTCTACCAAAAAGAATACCAGGATTTCAGGCACCTGTGGTTTAGGAATGAAAACAGATATGAGGGTGATGTTTGCAGTATTTTATTCATAAACTGTAGCAGTTTTTTTACATACAAGTGGAAAAATTGTTAGATAACTGATACTTCACAATTAACGCTTGCCTGACGCACTGTAACACTTCCTTTGTAGCATTTGCAATTGCTGCAGTGATTCACTCTTTGAGTGTACACTTGGTCTTTCACGTAGCCACAAAGAGAAAGGTCAGGAGAACGAGGTGGCCACGCAATTAGTCCTCTTCATATCCATCGACTTGGAAAATTCACGTTCAGACATTCACGGACAGTGTGAGGAAAATGAATAGGTGCACCGTCCAGTTGATGAACATCATCATTGTTGTTGTTGCTGAACTG